AAGCCTCCAAACTATTTGAATCAAGTCAAATATTTCAAACAATGCAAAAAAGGTTTAGAAACTACCCACGAATGAAAAAGGTTCAATCTTGATCTTATTTGAAAAGGTCAACAAAAGTCAACCCCATGCTCGCTTGGTCGAAATCCGAGATTAGGACCAAATACCGATTAACCATTCACCCCCGAGCCTGGTTATGTGATTTGTTTCAAAATCTGATCTCAATTCAAGGTCTAAATCTCAATTTTATAAAATTCATAAATTCAATCCAAAACCCCTAATTTCTACCTTGAAATTCATGAATTAGATGTTATAATTCATGAAAACGTAATTAAAATTGATTGAAAACTAGTTAAAGTTGCTTACCAGTGAGTTTGGAAAGACAATCCTCTTCGAAAATCGCCTCTAGAGAGCTTAAGGTTAAAAACTGGTGTAAAATGAGCTAAGTCCCAATTTTCCCAACTTTTATCTAGCTGCATTGTGATGCCCGCAAAAGTGAACAACTATCTGCAAATACGAACAGTGCACAGATGTCGCAAATGTGACTTTTCCTTTGCAAATGCGAAGGGTCCCACTATCATAAATGCGGCCAAAGCTTCGCATTTGCGAAGCTGCCTACCTAGTTCAGTCATCATAACTGTGACATATGGATCTCAATTGCGACCTTCCACCAGTCTGCAAATGAGATCATCTTTTCGCATTTGCAAAGTCCTAACTCCCAGCCCATTTTTGCATTTACGAGCCTGACATCGCAAATGCGAGGCTCGCAATTACGATTAGATTCTTGCAAATGTGAGACCTGCAACCTTACACCAGCAATTGCATACCTTCAGTAGTTCCAAACTCAACCAAAACACATCTGAGCCTCTCGGGCTCTAATTTGAACATCCACATAAGTGTAATCATCATATAAACTCGTGCGCTACCTCAAATAATCAAAATAACATCAAATATCAAGAATCGATCATCAAAACTTGAAATTTTCAACTTAAAACTCAATTTTGGAAATTTTCACATAATGCGTCCAAATGTGTTTGGGTCACCCGAGACTCCAACCAAACATGCGTACACGTCTAGAAACATCATATGAACTTACCAAAATCGTCAAAATACCGATCAGAGTTCGTTTACAAAAAATGTTGACCGTGGTCAACTCTAGCCTCATTTTAAGTCAAAAATCAAATATTCTTCAAATTTCACATATAAGCTTTCCGAAAAACAATACGGACCACGCACGCAAGTAATATAACATCAAATAAAGCTATGAGAGGTCTCAAAATATATAAATAAGGTCCAGTACTAAAAATGATCGGGTCGTCACATTATGAAATTATTTGACAGCTTTGGAACGACTCTTGAAACGTTCGAGGATGAACGTATGTTTAAGTGGGGAAGAATGTAACGACCTGACCAGTTGTTTTGAGCTTTAGTATTTTGTTTGGCCGTTAAGACCTTGAGTAGCCTCATATAATGTGTTATGACTTGCGTATCTAGTAAGTTTTGTTGTTTGAGAGGTTCAGGATTGATTTGGAAGAGTGATTCTCAATTTTGAAGCTTTAAGTTGGAAAGGTTGACCGAAGTTTGACTTTTGGGTAAACAACCTCAGAATCAGGATTTTGTGATTTCAGCAGGTTCGTATTGGGATTTTGGACTTGGGCTTATGTTTGGACTTGAATTTGGGTGTTCCTAGAAGGTTTTGGCTCTATTTATTGAAAGTTGGCAATTTAAAAAATTGGAGAGTTCATAGGTTTGATCAGAAGTTGACTTCGATGTTATCGGATTCCTATTGTAGTTTTGAGACCTTGTATAGGTCCATTTAGTTGATTGGAACTTGTGTGCAAAGTTTGGTTGTGATCTGGAATGTCTAAGTGTCATTCGGACGAGAATTTAGAATATTTGAAAGTTGAGAGAATGATCTTGATCTTTGATTCTTGATTTTGATGTTAATTGCGGTATTTTGAGCCTTGGATAAGTTGGATATTGTATTTGAACTTATTGGTATGATTGAACGGGGTCCCGAAGGCCGAAGGGCTTGTGTGTGTTTCGGAGTGGTTCCAGGATATTTCTATGTATTTTGGAGCAGCTGAGATGATAGTGTTTTGCAGTGCTTCGGGATCGCGAATCTAGGCTCCCGATCGCGGAAAAGAATCTTGGCAAGCTGGTATTTTTGCTTTGCATTCACGATCTAGGGCTCGCATTCGCGGTATGTGTTTTGGGGGATGGGAGTTGTGTTCTTCGCATTCGCGGAGTTTGTATGTGTTCATTTAGAAGTGTGTCAGGCGGGAAACTTGGTCATCGCGTTTGCGTGGCTTCAGTCGCATTTGCATGGAGCGGGAGCTGGTTGAGCTTTGCGATCACGAGGGTGCTTCCGCAACCGCGAAGGAGGATTTGGGCTGGTGGCAGACTTGTGCTTCTCAAACATAATGCTCATATCGCGCTCGCGAAGGGTATTGTTGGGCAAAGTACATAAGTGTTATATTTTGGAAATTTTACCCATTCTTTCATATTTTTAGGCCTAGACTTAGAGATGAGCGATTTTTCATGGAGATTTTCATAAAAGGAAAGAGGGTAAGTGATTTCAACCTATTTGTGATTATATTTCAAGAATTTACATGGTTTTCTACACCTAGAACATGAAATTTCGAAAGGAAATTCGGAGATTTTACCTACAGTTTAACAGAGTGTATTTTAGGTTTGTGACCATCGGTTTGGACCCGAATTTAGGAATAATTATATATTTGGACTCGACAAGTTATAAGTCATCGAATTTTGGTATTAGCTTCGAATTTCGGACACGTGAGCGCGAGTTGACTTTTGTTAGATCTTTGGACATTCATCAAAGATCGAATTTATATGGTTTGGGATTGCTTCCTGTAATATTTTTTGACTTCCTTGGTCAATGTTTGGCTTGATTTTGCATGATTGGAGGGCTAAAGCAAGGTTTTGACGCGATTTGAGGTTGAAGCTAGCCCGAGAAAAGGTAAGTCTCTTCGCTAGCCTTGTTAGGAGGGAAATCCCTAGGATTTGGCTTAATTGCTATGTGTTTAAGGTATTGGAGGTGGTGTATATGCAGGATGGAGAGCACATATGGATGTACCGAATTTATATTATGTCCAGGGTAAAATTAAGATACTTTATGCCATATTTTGATTATGTAATCATCTTGATTCATAGTTTGTTTGGCTTATGTGACTACCTTGCTCTCTTATTCATGTTAGAGATCATGCCTAGGTTTATGATTATTTATGAAGTCATGGGGGCTTATTTTTCATATGTTGAATTATTTGAATCATTCGTAGTCATATAAAATTTTTTGACCACATATCCGTATAATTATTATTAAGTCATTGTACATCTCTTATATATAAATTCTTGGACATATACATTCATATCATATTTGGATACTTGATCTAGACTGATATTGTGCCACAAAAGATAAGGTCGGGTGGTTGAGATACAGTTATAACACACAAGACATGAGAAACGAGGTATTTGATTATAAGTGAGCTATCAAGCTCCCTTTTACGCTTGGATAAGGATCCGTCCATCCGGATTTAGGTGATTACCCATGTTACTTTGGGTGACAGTGGTCGACACATGGATTATGTATCAGGTCGATACATGGATTTTGTATCGGCTTTTTGTGATACATGAATTGTGTATCGTGGTACATCAATCTTGTACCGATTATGGTTAATGATAGAGTCTTGAGCATATATAGACATCTCTGATCCATTTAAAAGCAGTCATTTAAATAATATTTGTTGAATTTTATCTATATATGCTAGTTGGAAGCCTCAAATCAATTTATTGAAGCAAGTGAACTTTAAATACCATATTTGAGCAGCGCTATAATTATCTCTAGTACTAGAAAAGCATGTTTTATATCTTTAGACTGTGTTACAACTTTAATACATGTTGTTCATGAGGATATTTATTATTTCAGTTCCAGGCTCTATTATTTATATCTGTTTTGTAAGTATCTTGATGCTTATAATCTCGCCACTTCTTCTTCGATGTTAAACTTGATGCTTACTGGATACAGACTGTGGTGTATTCATACTATGCTTCTGCACATTTTTTTGTGCAGATCCGCAGGAGGGTACTAGAGGAACCACTTGTTGAGCTAGGCGTTCACTCAGAAACTTAGAGCGAGCAGCACAACATGGATTCGTTTCGCAGTGCCCGAGTCCCTATCTTTTGATATCTTCTGTCTATTTTTATTCTCTCATCCAGTTTCGATTATGTATTCAGACTTGTACTTATTCAGTAGTTGCTCATGTACTTGTGTCATCTAGACTTTGGGGTTGTACTGTTTTGGTCGTGTTCGGACCATGTTATAATTGTATCATATATTATCCTGATTTGAGGTTATTTCTGTCTTTATTTATGATATGACTCTGTTAATTCAAGGAACCTGGACTACATTATGTTCTTTGTGATCTAGCTGGCTTACTTAGCAAATATGGCTAGGTGCCGTCACAGCTTAAGATGGAATTTTGGGTTGTGACACAACCCAAGCTCCTCAACTGTCTCTTATTATTAGTAGAAAAAAATTTATGTAAGCCAAAAGAAAGAAAATTGACAAAGTTATCTAACAACGAAGTACTTACTCCTATATCTCTCCCGACAATTAAATGTCACCATCATGTCACCTAGCAACTTCCTATTTGATAAAAGTTAAAATCTTCCGTTTAGATTTTACTTCCAATTGATTAGGGCTCAACATATTACCGTTTCATATTATGTGTTCACTATAAAATAATTTAACTTCAAAATTATAGTTTTACCTTAATAACATACTACTATAATTACAAAAATATTATGAGTTATTTAAGACATAAATTTTACTCTTAATAACTTATTTTTATAGTTAAAAAAAATTATATTTGTTAAAGACACAAATTCCAAACGTATTCCTTTTTTTCTTTATACGGTCAACAATTGTCACATAAAGTAAATAAAAAACTTGTAGTAACAAATAAGAAACGAAAAGAAAGTTGTCAAGGAGACAAAAAACCAGTACCCACATGTTCCATTGTCAACTTTATACTTACCATGTGAAGTTTCATTCACATTTACAGTTCCCCAAACCAAAACTTTAACACAGAAAAACAAAGAATAAGAGGAAAACAAAAAAGGCAAAACCACATGCGCTCAAAATGTGAAAACATAAACTAGCTTAATGCTTTGCAGCAAACTGGTTGATTAGTGCAAGCGCATTGCTAGTGACCTGAGCTACATGAGTAACCCGAGCTCTAACCGAAGCCTTAATCCTACCATTGAAAGTCTTTCCAGCGAACCCATCTCCGCAAGTATTTTCATCTGTAAGAGCAGCACTGATCCACGTCTCTATGTTACTCATATGCCACTCAAAATCCTTCCCACGGGCGCTCCCCATATTCTTTAGCTCCTTAACAGATTTGCTTATCCTGTCAATTGTATCGCTCATTTGTTCCACACAATCTTTAAGAGCTGCATATTCTCTTGGCTTCAACCCCTTGAATTTACACAGCTTGTTGACAAATGCTTGTGTGGATTGTGCCCTGTCAAGGCTCACTGACAACGCAGTTTGTGCTAGTTGTTGTGGGCTACGTTTTATGGCTGGTGCGAACCCCGCTAAGGAAGTGAAGCATACTTCAGGGTAAGTGGTGAATTTGCACGAGCTCTTGATGAAACTGGTGGCGACTGTGGCGGAATTCGCCGTGCCGGAGAAGCAGAAAAGAGAGAGCACAGCTGCTAGCAGTATAAGCTTCAGTGCTGCCATTTGTTTTTTCTTAAGAAATGGATGTTGGGGGATATGACTAAATTGGGGGCATGGCCTTTGAATTTATACAGAAAGATCTGGGATTGGATTATAAAATGGGGCCCAAGACTGGTGATTTGTTTTATTTTATCAAAGACCAATGACTGGTGATTGATGATAAAGGAAAGATTCGCCGTGTAGACGTCGGTGTAGCGTGTTTGCATGAGTTATTAGTCTAAAATAGATATATTTCGAGAAATGCACTAATCAAGCATTAATTAAGGAGGCCGCTTGATTACCAGGATAAGGATACTAATAATGAAATAGAGTTATATTTATTTGATGTTTGATTATGAATATTTATTAATATTGATATAAATTTAATATTAAAATTATAGTATTATTTATTATCCCATATAGGATATTCCATCCCATGAAATAGCATTGTTTATCCAACAATTAAAACAAAAAACCCTTAAGGGTGTATGTGATTATGTATCACATAGTCACAAATTTGGATTAGGTTTGAATGGAGTAGAATACAAGTACTAATACTACAGAGTATAAATTAGAATGTTAGTTGAGATAAATTATTAGACACAATCTTTGAGCGTTATTGGTACCAACACCGACATACACGTAGTTAGTGCTCTGTAGTTTAATGTGTACTGGTCACACGCTACTGATAAGTATAACTGCGTGAATTCACATAGTATTGGTGCATGTCTATCCTGTTAACAATTACTCTCAAATTCTCAATGTCTCATTTTATATGATATATAATTTTTTAATTTGATTAAAAAGGACACATTTCACTTTTTAGCTGCTAATTAAACTTAGCATCCCGACTTTTCCTTAATGATATTGTTGTGCTCAATCAGTGAAAAAAATATTTTGGGCTTTTGGCATATTTGACCGATCGGTCAAAACTAATTACAGTCGCTAGCCAAATATATATAAAAAAAAAAAATTAATTGTGTATAAAATATATATATTATATGTATATTATACATTAATATACAAATTNCTTGAGTTCGGTCACCCTCGAACCAAGTGAAGGTTCAAATGAAATAAGAACAGAATAACAAGATATTGAAAGCTAAAAAGAAGCAATATATTATTTTATATTGCGTAAATGTCCTCTGTCTTACAAATGATCAGACCCCCTTTATATAGTAGGGGAGTCCTACTCTTGGTATAATTCTTAATACAATAAGGAATCCCATGATAGGCTAATTAATCTGCCTCTCCTTGATACGTGCCGGGATTTTCGCCGCGATCCTCGTCCGATTGCGGATATTTTAGCTTTCTGTTATTTGGTTCAGTAAGCTTCCCTTGGTCCCGTTCGATCTCTATCTTGCTTGGTCTCGATCTTGCTCGTTCTCGATCTTGCTCGTTCTCGATCTTGGCCGGTCTCGATCTTGGTCGTTCGATCTTGGCCGATCTCGATCTTAATTGATCTCTGGGTCACGAGCTCGGAAATCTAACTTCGCATCATGGTTCGATATAACACGAGTTTGAACCTTGCCCTATCATGTTCTAGTCTCGATCAGTCATACGAAAGGCAAGCCCGTTTTTTACTGTATACAGATAGTCCCCTCGTTTCTCGGAGAGAAGATGACGAGAAACGATATGAACTTCCGAGCTTCGCCTCGATGGGTCATGATGTAAATGACGAAACGTCACTGGTACACCTGTTCATGACGTAAGTGTTGATACCTAATTTTTCCTGATATATATATATACACTTTCAAAATAGTGCATATGTATCATCATTAGTTTATAAGCATATACAGGTATTTTTTATAATTTTTCATAATTTTTAAAGACTTTAAATCAATTTATTTCTGCATTTGTATTGTATAAATATCCAGTAATTATCCTTCAAATTATCTTTTATGATGATTTAATCATCTAAACTTATCATTTATACTAATATGAGGTTTTAAATATTTTCAGTGCATTTTTTATAATTACATTTGCATTTTAAGGCTAAATTACATATTTTACAATAATAGCCCATATGCATGTATAATTACATTATTTATGCAAAAGATAACCTTTTATATTTTTATAATGTTACGTTATTATTTTTTATCTTTTAGTACACAAATAATATTTTTGTTATTTATTAATTACTTTTATAAATTATGTTTTTGCTAAAATATTGGATATTTAAAAACTAGCCTCACACCAAACAATGGCCAAAGTACCTAATACACTGGCCCAAATACCCCAGTCCAAACCAAATTAATCCAACCCCATAAACCCGGTCGTGACCCGTTTAACCACCCGACCCAAGCCCCCTTTTAAATCGTGGTCGTTGATCTCTGAGATCAACGACCCACATTACACCCTCCCCTTTAACTACCTAAACCCCTAACCCTAATCTCACTCCCCCTCATCCGCCGCCTCTGCATCCCCTCACCTCCCTTCTCCCTCCTAAGAACCCTAGCGCCGCCTCCCCTAAAATCTCTCCTAATCCCACTAGACATGGGATTATACGGCTATTTCTTACCATACTCGACCCCATTATGGTACTGGCTACTCTCCTATAGTGCTTGCCTAAACATGGCAAGAAAATCTCCTCAAAATCAAACCAAAATCGGTTCAAATCCCTGTATTTTGAATGTTATTCCGTCTATGTTCAGCCTATGCTACTATGAGTTTGAACATTTGTTTATATTCTGTTGATTCTTACTAATCCTAAAAATTAGGGCTTCAGATCTATTTAGATCGTACCAAAATTGGTTTGATTCTTTGATTTTAAACGATGTTTCTATCTATATTCATCTTATTCTATGCAACGTTTGATTTTTTATTTTTAGATTCTGGCGATTTTTTGCACTTTCCCTAAAATTAGGGTTTTGAAATTTCTCTCTTTTCCCTACTTATTTCGATTGCATGTGATGTTCTTTCCTTTCTAGTGTTTGATTGATATTTTTCCTTATTTACTTGTTCAATCTCTGTCACAATATAAACCCCTCCTTATTCCCCTTTAGAAGGAGACTCTTTTGGAATCGCTATAATCTCACTAAACTTTAAAGCATTATTCTGTTATTTCTTCATTATCACGTTCTATACTTTGGTTCTTGGCCGGCTGAAAGCCAAGGCCACTAAAATCTGGGCTCTTACTTCTCATTGATGTTCAGAACACTGTGGACTTTTATTCTTTCTTGTATTTTCGTTTAGCTGGTGAGTTACTGAACCTTTGTAATTTTGTTCCTATGTATCTGCAATTTGCATATGCCTTCACTTCTGAAGTTCGTTAGTTTAATGAGTTTTCTGGGTTGTTTTGTGTGCGATTCTATTTATTTTACTTAAATTTTTTAGGTCTCCTTAACATTTAACTTCATAATGTTGATAGCTCTAAGCATGCCTAAACTTGATTCGAGTAAATTAAATTCTTCTCAATGTATTACTACTGTTTGGGATCTTTGCACTTGTAAGCATCTCCGTGGTGTTTTATTTTTGCTTTAGGCTATCAATCCTATTGTGTGAACATGCTTTACTTGCATAATTTGTATCCTCTTTAGTCGACTAGTCAATTGTGTTCAAAACATGAATGTTCACATCTATTCTATGGCACAAGTCTATTTTGAATTTTTATGGTTATATCTTGCTTATATAGCATGTTTTAATCCTATCAATCAAGACTAGTTCTCTATCAATATGTCCCTTTTAGCATATTTTTTGCTCCCCTGATTCACCAGTAGTTGTAGTAATCTATTTCCCTATCATGTCTAAATGTAGTTCTGCCACCAAATTAATGTGACTATTTCATAACACTAGGACTTATACTTAGTATAAGTTGAACCTTTTCTTTTATATTATGAGCTGTGTATGATACTTTTCATCAATCCTGCAAACCTGTTCTTCCCTTGACTTTGCTAATGTAGGAGTGTTTATGCACTAAGTGTTGAACCTGTTTTTCTAAAAAAAAATTATAAGCTTGTTCTTAAACTCTATAACTTGTCCAACTATCTGCTATATGTGCAACTTGACTACATCTGTATCCCTTAGTTTTGTCTCTCAACCTTGGTTTACTTCACTTACTGCCTGGTCTCTTTTGAGTTCTTATTCTTAGCCGGCTGAAAGCTAAGGCTACTTAGGTTTTATCATTTGACCTACCTAGTGTGAGCACTGCCCTGGGTCCTTAAAACCCTTGGGAACTCTGACACACTAGGATTTGGTCCTCAGTCTTTCTCGGAATTTCCCCTATCAACCTCCCTAGTGTGAGCACTGCCCTGGGTCCTTAAAACCCTTGGGAACTCTGACACACTAGGATTTGGTCCTCAGTCTTTCTCGGAATTTCCCCTATCAACCTCCCTAGTGTGAGCACTGCCCTGGGTCCTTAAAACCCTTGGGAACTCTGACACACTAGGTTCATGGTTCTAATTGCTCAACTATGTTTTCACCTACTGGCTGAATCAATTAATTTCTGGCTACCTTATGTAAATGAAGATATGACTTCTGGACTGTTGTGAACTATGTGGACTTGAGAATGAAGGCCTGACCTGGCTTGGCTGGGTATATCTTTGGTATGCTGTAGGCTCACTATAGTTATTTTACTCTGTAATTTATGCCATTCATTGGGTCTGTAATAATATTGTAATAACAATTGGGGTATTTGTAAAATTGGGAAAAGGGGGTTTATCTTAATACTTGCATTGAAACGGGTAGAAATCCTGCCTATAGGTATTTTACTTTGCTCAAATATGTTCTGCTATTGTGTGTGTTAGATAACCTACCTATAAGTATTTAATTTGTTTGACATATTTTGCTTCCACATGCTAGAAACCATGCCTATAGGAAATTAAATGACTAATGTCTCGATATGCGTTACAGCATACTCATTAGGCGCCATAGGATTCTGTTAATTTACATACTACCTAATCTGCCATTTAAAAATCCTACCTATAGATCTTAATTATTGATTATAAAATTCATGCCTATAGGATCTAAAATCAGTCTTAATTATTGATTTTCTTGCTCGTTTCATTTAAGTGTTAATGTTAAACTTTCAACACTGTGTCATTGTCACTATTAGAAAGCATACCTATAGGAT